CATGTCTGGTTTTGTTATTGGCATCTTTCGAGCCCTCCTGGTAATTGGTTCCCTCTCGCACTTACCACTCTCAAACAACTGACTCAGTTTATTGCTACCTTCACGGTCATCTTCAGGGCGTTGGAGCCCCACTTTTTGATTCAGTGCACTGCCGAGCAACGCCAACCGTTGTTCCATCTGATTACGATACGAAAAGGGCTGGCAGTGAAATCAATCACATGAATAAAATGGGATAGCAGCATGATCGTTTCTCTGTCCGGTTCTGGGACTATGACAATCATGGTGAGCATGACCCATACAGGCTGGCAGTGAAATCAATCACATGAATAATATGGGATAGCAGCATGATTGTCTCTCTGTCCGGTTCTGGGACTATGATAATCATGGTGAGCATGACCCATACCAATCACATTCCCACGAAATGTCGGGAGAAATGTGAGCAACAGAGAAGTGGCTAGACAAATATCACATTTATTAGGTTGGGTGTGAGATTTTTGGCCCTAAGAACTTCATATTGATATCATCCAGGAAGGTGATGTGAGCCAACAAATTTATGATGGCACAAAGTTTATTGAAGTGCCGTGAAGTATGGTCAACACCTGACTAGTTTCTGCTGTAGTACTATGACGAATTGGCATTGTCCGAATAACTAGTTTGCTGACCGAGTTTTATAGGCTGGTTGAAGCAAAGAAGTCTCTGGTGGGAGCCTCGCTCATTCTGGTGTTCGCTAGTGGCACCACGTTCTGAGAGTGCAACACGAGCTAATGCTCCCCTGTTCATGCCATAAGTAAGACTGCAGTTAACACTCTGCGGCTGAGAGGCGGCGCTTATGGATCACTGTGCCGTTGGCAGGTTCTCCTCAAGTCCGTTTACGCTGGATGACGCTTGAAGCATGGTGTGAACCCACTCTGACGATCGAATTGATATCAGTCAGCTGAATGAACCCAGACGCACCAACAAAGGTTCCGCTACAGAAACAATTTGTGGGAAAGCATTACTCGGTAGCCTTCAAAGTGGCCTAGATGCCTGTAGGGATATGCAGTAAAGCTTTCGGCTCACGGTGTTTCTCGTCACGGATATCATGTGTTCAGTTGTATGCGTTACATTACGACCATCCATTCCGAACACCTTGAATGTGAATATCACACGTAGGAGCATAAAACTGCACTGCTTGCAATCCATAGATTTTTCGCCTGCTGCTTGAAAGGGTACGCAAATCACACTTGATATCCCATTGCCGACTCAGTTTTGTGGATGAGGTAGCCCAAATTCATTGGGGATACATCTAGTCTCTTATGCTAATGAGTTATATGTTTGCCTTGTAGAAGATACTGAAGCTGGAGAAAAAGGTGAGCAACGACTACAATTTCATGTAAAAGAATCCCATTAGCATCCCGTTACCCGTCGTACTGCTCACCAGATCAGCCTATCCGTGGTCGTAAAAATTCCGGAAAGCTTGCGTCTTCTATATACTTTATGTCTGTTATTGAACCAATGCAGTTTGTTCCCAAGGCCAGCTGTATTCATTATAAAAGTTTTTATATTACGATATAGGAATTATTGCATAGACTTCTTATGCAAGCAAGCATGATGACGCCAGAGAAGGTATCTATTTGGATTTGGACTGATTATGCTAACTCAGATTCCCAGTAGATCTCTGCGGATTAGTTAGATGCTTCTGATGTTAGGGAACACGAGAAGTACTACTGCATTTTGTGTGCTAGACTTAACTCAGCAAAGGTAGTTTTTACGTTGCTGTCTATGACATAATGGGTTTTAGTTAAATAGCTCGAACAAAAAAACGCCAGAACCAGAGTGTCTAATCAAGGAACGCAAGCTTTATTGCCCAAATCCTCAACAGAACTAGTCAAGGAATGGTAATCATTTCCTGGTCTAAGCTACCGTTATCCCGATGCTGTATAAAACCATTTCATTTACATTTACCAAGGCACAGTAGTTAAGGTGATTTAATGCATATCCAATCCTGCAGATGAAAAAGGGCTCATGGGAGAACCGTACCAGCTCCCCAACCTTCTCGGTTTCCGCTCCCTCTACAAGGTCCCTCTGATCATGTATGCGCCTGAGTGCTCGAGCGAAGTCGGTCCTGAAGGTATTCTTTTATATTAGAAAATCACTGGTGTGCATACCCCGAACGTTACGCAGTGCGCGTCTGTGAATAACTCGAACACCAACAGATTACAAATTAGCAGACTTCTCCTATGCGTGTTTTAAAACGTGTCATTGCACGCCTATTCCCGAAGGTTCATTTAGACCTGTTGTGAGAACGCCTACTCGGTCAAACGATGCACAGTGTCCTCTGGATAGTACAACTCTGTGCAAGTACGCAAAATCTTATCAGTGTTCGGTGTTCTCGCTTCATGTGTGGGAAGAACATAAGTGACAAGATCGATGGACCTGTGAATATTGTGAACCTAAACCAATGCACCCTTAGCCGTTGTTGGGGCTGATGGAACTGAAGACAGAATAAGCATTGTCGACGGCGTTGATCACCCGAGATAAGCTGATTTCATCTGGCACTGAACGACCATTTGCAGTTGTTAATACTGTAGAGAAAAGACATTCACAATTACAGTAAGGCTGCGCCTTGGTTTGATACTACTATGGAAGGACTGTGACGAGTAACAGCAGAAGGGTATTTTGTTACAATTGATCGTTTCGTTCGCACTATCATGGGTTCCAGGAAAAGCCATGACTAGAACAGCTTTGCATGGGGGCATCGACAGGCCCATCGATTGTTTCGATTGATGTTCAACCGGCATAACATAAACGAGATCCCTGAATCACTTTTTGCGCTTCCACTGCTTTTTTTCATGTGTGGTCGGGCCTTGGACATCTGGAAAACTCACGTCCCATATTTGACTAAATCAACCGAGCAGTGTGAATCGACCGTTTATACCGGTTTATACCGGTCCTGAGAATCTTGTCATTGCTCTGATGAACAAATTACAGAGTCACGCGAAGGGGCCGGAAAACACTCTGGAAAGTTGCCGATCAACTCCAAAATTAATGGCGTTTAAGACATTCTGGCAGGAGGTATCTTTCGGGACGGGCAAACGTTTGTCAGTCTGAAAAAACGAGGGAAACTCTAGCTGCCTTAGGGGGCTACATTTCTAGGACGATCCTAGAGCCAGAACTAGTGGCCTAAAACGGCTAAGACCATAGACCCTTTAAAGTGGTTGGTTACTGTACATCACCCCTAGACTTTGCAGGGTACAGTTTTAGGATGGTGTGTACCATTTGTAATGAACATGAATACGTATTCTGAAAAATAGCCATAATATAATCAAGCAAACATCATTAAAAAACCACCGGTAAGTTTACATCACAAGCTACCAGACAGAGTAAATGTTCTCTATACGATCGTCTTCAGAATGTTCAAAATGGTACGGAGCCACTCCAGAACTACTGACTTTTGCTCAGGTTTGTATGTTTTCGGAAGTCCCGAAGAACGGCTAGTCACAACAGCTGGCTGAACTAAAATAATGGAGAGCGAACTTTTTAGTGTTTATTGTAGTTTATGTAGTGGAGTCAGTGTCAGCTTGCTCATTTTTCTGCGTGTGACCAGCTATGCTTTCTTCGGCAAATGGTGGCTTACTTAATGTCAGACAGATCCGAAAATCTCTTCTGCTTCAACTAAAGAAACAAACATGATTTGAACATCCGATACCCATTATGATTGGATTTCTAGACTGTATTTCAAATTAATTAGAGTTTTCTTGGTTCAAATGTCAAGAGTTGCATACATTAAGTTTGGTCATACCCTTCGACATAAGTTCCATATCCCCTGATATAACCACGTTCAAGGATTGCGTTAGCTTTATATTTTGTGTCAGCACCGTGACTGATATGCATGGCTCCCGCCCCTAAGCTCTTGGGCATTTTATCTAGACAACTTACCAGCAGATAGATTGATGAAATAGCACAACCACACCATGAGAAATCAGAAAAAAGAATGCTTCTCCCGATATAAGTTCATTTTGCTTTGGCTTCAAAGCCGGACTTAGCCTCCCTGATTGCTCTTTTCCTGCGTTGTTGCTCTTGAGTAATGAGCCTGACGGCTGAAGTGTTGGAGAGGTGGATTTATTTTATGGGCTGTGCGTGTTGCAGTAAATAATAACATGTGCTCTGGGACGTGGGCTCAACTTTTCTTAATCTAGTTGTTTCAGTGAACACGAAAAACACATCAGAATATTAGTGAGATGAATCCTATGGTAACAACTAAGCTGCATAGCCGTTAATTCTACCGTGCTGTCCCAGGTCTTGAAACGGGTACGTCATGAGTAACGTGATGTTCCCATCCCTCTAAGGCAAAATGCACTTCATCATTCCAGACAAAAAAACATTACAGGACACTGACTAAACAATCCAAAGCTCTCAAAAATAAGCATTGATAGCATAACAGCATTGTCAGAAAATTGCGAATTCGCGGAACTTTCTACGTGTTGTGCCAAGTGGCGACCGAATTAGCTGTTTTTGTTCGCGCAACTCAGGTTTCCGCTGTTGACAGTTCCCTGACTCCCATAAAGTAACGTTCGTACACTGTCCTGACAGATGCCGTAATTGCTGAAGCATTTGCAGTGGAGTGACCTTTAACCTCAAGACGAATAAAGGTAAGTTTTGGCGTAACGTGGACGTAAAATCAGTGTAAAATCAGTGTTTCACGGAAAAACGTTATATTCGGTTGGCGAACAAACCAAGCAAGGATTTATGGGCCAGCTAAGTGATATCTATCATTGCCGCTTGTTGGGCAAGGAAAGTTTCCGGAATATCTGTTTAGGTTCTCCCAATGGCTATATTTCCTGATGCGGTGCAGCAGACTCAGACGCTTAACAGTGTTGTGGGCGTCATCATCATCCTTTTCCTTGGATCCATTTGTCACTTACAAAACTTATCTGTTTGACGCTGTTTCCTCATAACAGAAAGTGGGATTAAGGTGTAAAGTCTACTCATTCCTGTGTTTTCTTATCCACCTTTCAGGTTTCGAAGTTGAACTAGAAAATAATGCTGAAGGAAAGTGGGGTGAATATTTCAAGGCATGGGGTGTGACCCGACTCAGCAAATACGATCTATGTCACGGCGTAAGCAAAAAAACATTTACGCTATTTATTTGGTTATTCTGCTAATCAAGTTTGGGCACACTACAGTATGACCTCAGACTTACTCAGCCTGGTACTTGCTGTACTCGGATAACTCACACGTCGACTACTGCTGTGTTCACCTTCAGCCTCGAAACGTTGCAGTATCGGTTGTAGTAAGAAAGTTCCATTTTTTCGCTGGCCCGTCGCCACAGTTTCACTGGACGTATGTAGCACATGTATACCAAATTGAACGTATGTGAAAATAAATATTTATTAGCGAATTAAGCTCGTATTAACATGAGATTCGGGTAAAATTTAACTGAGTCTGCCGTTGTTACAGTATCCAACCTGGTGATAACTGAAGGTCAGCAGTAGGTTTGAAGATGAACGCTTTTCTGCATGTGTGCTAAATTTGACGCTAAAGAGTAAAATAAGATTCGTGAAAATTCGGAGGCTAGTTTTACCTGGTGGAGCTTAAAAGGTGCGGAGCCTGTAGTAGGTTGTCCAGAGTTTTCACCTATATTATGAGTAGAGTCACATCCAAGATAATTTCGAGATTCAAATAGAGGTTTTTTTGAAAGGGGTTTCACCTATATTATGAGTAGAGTCACATCCAAGATAATTTCGAGATTCAAATAGAGGTTTTTTCTGAAAGGGGTCAGTATATGCTCAAAGGCTGAGAATCGTCACCATCAAACTTCAAAAGATGTTGGACGAGCCTTCCATCTGAGAAGTCGTCACTGAAGTAGCCAATCAATCCGTGATCGGAATCGCGTGAATAAAGTATGGTTAGTGCTGCATGTTCTCTTAGTGCAAATTATGCGTGGCTCTCACTGCTGTAGAACTGTACGGTCTTCATCCACTAGACAATCCCAGGCTTAGGTCCGGCTTAAGTTTCGTGGGATATACAATCCTGGTGAAACAGCTGTAAAGCACCTCTCGGTTTCTCAGCATAACTCGAACTCACTTGCAAAACTTCAAAAGGCCCCCATCAGACTACCATATTATTATTTCTATTGCTAAATCACTTTACTAATTTGACATTCTAACGTTTGTAGGACTTCACACTTTCTAAAGGCACCTCAAGACCAGAGCGTGCAGAACGATACTCACTTATCATTACTGTATGAGGTCTCTTCGTCCACATGTAAAAATGACATCCGTATAAATCAACCGCTTCTGAGTGCGAATAAGGGCCAATCATATTTTCAGTGCATCAGTTGAAATTGATGATGGCTAATTTTTCGATACTTTCTTTTTTGCTTTACAAGATGCGTCAAGTGGCAGAAAAAGCGAGCACGTTTTATGAAATCCAACTGGCTTTTTGTGCTACAGACTTTTCCGAGTTGGAAGAAGTATCAAGCGACAGTGAGCTCACTTTGTATTTCACAGTGAGCAGCCTGAAAATGGATGTGGACGGCTGTTTCAGGAAAGTCGGAACTGAGTTGCAGACAATCTTCAATTCGCCTCCTTCTGGGTCTGTTAAGGAAAACCGGGTAAACTTTCGTTGTGGTTTTATGACAGCTCAACCACAAAGCGGGGAAGTACATTTTATCGCAACGCCCTATCCCGATCATATATTCCTAGATGCTGATATCTAATACACCCTCTAGCTCTCTACAGCGAATTAGCGCCTCACCCTATGAAGGGCTTTACATTATAAACAGGATTGGTGATAATTTTGCTTGTTTTTCAAAGGTAAGCATTAGTTACAGTTTTTGCACCATGAAGATCAGTAAAGTAACCTTAATTCTACCATGGTTGGGTTTGAACCTAACAAATGTAGGGAAAACGAACAGGGAATAAAAACAGTGGCCCCATTTCAAGTTTTAAGCGGGTGACTGAAATTTTCGTTTCTGCGTGTAGGTGGTTCAGGGGGATAGGGAATGAACTTCCTACTCATTGGGTAAGCGTTGCTTAGCCCTAAGTCATGTCCCCAGGACATATAACTACCGTAACTTGGCTGAAAGAATATTCAGTCTCATAGAGCCTAGTACCCAAAGTTATAAACTGGATGAAATAAGCCACAATAATATGGTTAAGGGTTCATTAGCTTTCCGACTAATCTGATCAGATAAACTTACCACTGAGCTACATGCAACGAAGTATTGTTACCGTAACACTGATGAGTATCCACTCGTGAGGGTAATGCATAATGTATACCGCATCGTTTTATTCATCTAGTTTATGGAAATAGAGCAATTTCAGTAGTATTAATGTACCGGAATTTTTAATTCAGGCGACAAGGGCTAGTTGAGCAGCATATTTAATTTACAGCAGGTGAGGACCTCCACCGAATAGTCATCCAAAACGTGGGGTCCAATTTACAGTGCCCGATCACATCAGTGGAAGAATATCGGATAATTCAAACTACAGGGTAATAGTTGCCCGGCATCCACTGTCACTGATTCTTCTCCGTGCAAACTGGCCGGAGATTTTATCCAGTAGCTTAATGAGAAGAATTCTACGGACACTTATTATCAGTCATCAAGCCCTTCTGGTCAGATGACTGCCAGCCCTTCAGGAGTGATCTCAACACTCCAATGGGCCTTGATAATCACATGTGGGAGGGCTATTCAGACCGTTTGGAATTGCAGCCTTAGGTGTTACCAACCGCTGTATAATAACGATTTGTGTGGCTATGGAACTCGCCGCCACTCATACGCGATTCAGTAGTGGGTGAGTACCCTCCGCGAGGTGGTGCATCAATGGAGTGAACCTGGCCATGTTTAGGACTGTATCATTTTCTCACGAATGGATCTCAAGGGAGTTCTTGTAGAAAATTGATGCTCGGTGCTAACAGTAACAGGTATCATGCACTGTTGTGTGATCGGCCTTCAAGAAGCTTGTGATTATAGGTTGAAGTGTTGTCAATCAGGATCAGTATCAAACAACTATTTGGTTGGGTAGAACTATAGAAGTCCGAAGAGTTTGTTGCTGATAGCTTGTTTAAAGCAACGAACCACTACCGTTTTACGCTGACATATTATAACTTATCTGAATCGATTGCTGGATGAACCTACTATAAACAGTGGTCCGCAAGAGCGCGTGCTATAAAGCTTCTCACAGCCCAACATCTATTTGTTATTTCAAACTGATCCCATTGTGAGGCGGGTACTCAACAGTTAGCTGTAGAGCTACGGGCGCCTAGCTAGGACCAAACTTTCCGGGATATTTGTGTAGAGAAAATAGGAAATCAATATCCAGGATTTGTCAGAGGAATTTGAGAAGACCGACAGAAGTCGATCGTGCAGATGCATTAAAATAGTGGACTAGCACACGGTTGGAAAACTATGGAGAACCCGCTTCGCCCATGGCGTTCTAAAATCCTATCAGTTCTGATGCGTTGTTGCAGATCTGGAAGGAGCAAACTGGCCAGTTGATGCATCTGTCATCATTCCGTTAAAGCTAGCACAAACAATGGTATGTCTTGCTTCCGAATCTAAAATTTGGAGACACCGATTGTTTCGTCAGCTTGGTGAGCGAAATGAACATCGGATATTCCAGAAAAGTCTCGACTTTAGTGTTGTAATGGTTCTCCAGCTGTGATATGTCACAGCTTAGGAGTGGAACGAGTCAACTCGGGGATCGAGTAAGACGAAACTCGATTAGTACCAGAATAGCAACTCACTACTTGTCTTGTCAAGATTCGTTAAGTGGATGTAACAGGATCAGTCGAGTTTATCTTCGCTAAGAGCCCTCATTGTTTACCACAGCACCATGTGGCTACTAGTCACACTTGCGCGTAGGGCCGATATGACCAGAAGCGTTCCCTGACCGAGTCTCTCTGATGAAACTTATTATCATGAGATCACCTATGAGAATCGTAAAAAACAAGGGCTAATTCTTGTCTGACACGAAAAAATCGAATTCCCGGAAAGTTTTCATTTCAAGAGCCAAGCCAAGAAACCACCTCTATCGCTTACGAAAACTTACAAAATGTATTACGCTGATAGATTTTAGTTGTTGATTACATGCGAACCATCCCGAAAATTCGTTTTCTGCACTGACTTCTCTGAATTAATTCTTCTCTGTAGACCCTGAGAATTTTTCCGTTCCATGTATCAATTTCAATGTTCCACGTATTGAGTGGTGTGTACTTCAATTCGTTCAGTCAAGAACAGATTACGGCTTAAAGTAATTAGACAAGCGCATACTGGTCAACGATAACCATACACGAAGGTTTCTTCATTCACTTGTCATTGCGTCACGGAAAATTTTGTTGGTTACCTGTTCATCCATTCATACTTCATCAGTGGCACTTTTCGCTGGACTCAAAGGTAGCCTAACGATCGGAAGACGAGAAA